GCGGCCCCGCCGCGCGTCTTGTTCCCGCGCCGTGCCCCTCTCCCCTGCCGGCCCTGCGCAGGAGCGGGGGGGCTGCCTGGGGGGAACGGCGTGCTGCAGGCAATAAGTAAAACAATTAGCAGAAGGCGGTTTCGGCCCATCGAGCGCTGGGTTAGGGGCCCAGCACGCTTCCGCTGCGCCACGGCGTCCTTCCATGTGCGCATCCTCATCCGTGCTCCCCGCCCCAGCCCTGGGGGGTGCTCCCATGGGGGGCTCTGCCTGCACCCCAGCTCTGGGGGATGCTGGAACGGGGTGTGTGTGTGTGTGTGTGTGTGTGCCCCGCGGCGCTGGGCGCGGGGGGGGGGGTACCGTCATCCCAGCAGGGGATGCGTGCGAGGTGACCTTAACAGCCCTGCTGTCCCCCCGAACAGGGTGACTATGAATGAACGCACTGTGTGTGGCTGTCCCGTCTGCTGTGAGAGCTTTGACCTTCTCCCAGGGACCGGAGGAGAAGTCCCCCGCCGTGTTGCTGAGAGCTGAACAGATCCCCATCTGGGATCTTCTGGTTTTTGGCCAGTCTGGTAGGAACTGCCATTCACCTGTTGGATACAACTGCCTATGCATAAGATTTTGGGAAAACAGGCAAGTATTCTGTGGGAAACATAAAAGAATGAAGGTGGGTGTATTTTTTTGAACAGATTTCTCACAAATTTGGGGGCCTGTTTTGCAAAACTTGCAAACTGTGAGATTTAAATATTTTTTGAAAAAACCAAAAGAGAACATAAAGCCTGGGACCTGGGCTACTCAACACATCACACACCTCGTACCCACCTCAAACTGCGTCAGTGTATTCACACCAGCTCCATGGGAGCAAGACTCAAGAGCAAAAGGAGGACACCCTGTCAGCGCTGCGATTTGGCTCCTCATTTTGGAGAAGCTGAGGCTGTTACCCACGTGCTTACCCGGTACAGAGCCTGTTTGGCCTTGTGGTGGGTTTCAGGCAATGACTGCCTGTCTTCCTGCCTCTTCACTCCCACAGCCCATTTCCAGTGGGGGTTGGTGTTATGCCACATTGGTGGTACACAGATCTTTTGGCTAATCCCTTTCCTCTTGTGTCCTGGGGTGACAGTCCGCAAGAGCTGCCAACCCTATCAAGATGTTCCTGCCTTGTAGCACATCTCTGCTTCAGGCATCTTGTTGGATTTTGTTGACGGACTTGACTGCTAGCATCCAGTCAGTGCGGTAACAGCCAGACCTTGTGCTGGTGCCAAAGTCAGGCCTGTCCCAAGCCACAGCTCTGTCCCCTGGTCCTGCCTGCTTAAGCCACCTGGGTGTGCAAGACCTCCTAGGGCACTGGGACAAGCAACAGCAACACATCATCTCACAAATGCTTTGCCTTGATCTCCCAAGGAGGTCAACCAAGCACCCAACAAGGGCTTGATAGAGGTACTAGCTAGCCTAGCTCATGGGGCACTTGCTGCCTGTGTGGTGAGAGTCTGTACCTTGCCCCGTGGGGGTACTGAGGTGTGTACCAGGGCCGTGCTCAGAGAAAGGGACCTCTCATGTTGAGCCATGTCTGAGTCCAAGTACTGGGCTGCTGCAGAAGGTGCAGATGGCATATAAGGGCATACTTTTTGACCTTGAAGACAGTCAAGCAGTGGAGCAGGTTGTGCAAGGGAGGTTGTGCAGCCTCTGTCCTTGGAAGTTTTCAAGACCCAGCTGTATGAAGCCCAGAATAATGTGGTCTGACACTAACAGCTGACCCTGCTTTGAGGATGAGGTGGGACTAGAGATCTTCTGGGGTTCCCCCACTCATCTCAGGGTTGTTCTGTCTCAAGAGAGAGTTGGCCTCGATGGGCCGAGGCCAACTGTATGAGGTTCAACAAGGACAAGTGCCGGGTCCTGCACTTCGGCCACAACAACCCCATGCAGCGCTACAGGCTTGGGGAAGAGTGGCTGGAAAGCTGCCTGTCAGAAAAGGACCTGGGGGTGCTGGTCGACAGCCGGCTGAACATGAGCCGGCAGTGTGCCCAGGCGGCCAAGAAGGCCAATGGCATCCTGGCCTGTATCAGAAATAGCGTGGCCAGCAGGAGTAGGGGAGTGATCGTGCCCCTGTACTCGGCCCTGGTGAGGCCGCACCTCGAATACTGTGTTCAGTTTTGGGCCCCTCACTACAAGAAGGACGTCGACGTGCTGGAGCGTGTCCAGAGAAGGGCAACGAGGCTGGTGAGGGGTCTGGAGAACAAGTCTTATGAGGAGCGGCTGAGGGAACTGGGGTTGTTTAGCCTGGAGAAAAGGAGGCTGAGGGGAGACCTCATCGCTCTCTACAACTACCTGAAAGGAGGTTGTAGCGAGGTGGGTGTTGGTCTTTTCTCCCAAGTAACAAGCGATAGGACGAGAGGAAACGGCCTCAAGTTGTGCCAGGGGAGGTTTAGATTGGATGTGAGGAAAAATGTCTTTACTGAAAGAGTGGTGAAACATTGGAACAGGCTGCCCAGGGAAGTGGTTGAGTCCCCATCCCTGGAGGTATTTAAAAGACGAGTAGATGAGGCGCTTAGGGACATGGTTTAGTGGGCATGGTGGTGTTGGGTCGACGGTTGGACTCGATGATCTTAGAGGTCTTTTCCAACCTCAATGATTCTATGATTCTATGATTCTAAGAGCCATGTCCATATGCTCTGCTCACCTGTGGCATCTGGGAGAACTTGCCTGCTCCTGCAGTCCTTGCCCATACCTTTCCCTTGGAGCTGCAGTGCTTATCCTGCCTCTTCCCCATGGGAAACTCCCTACATTCCCCATTCCTCCACACTTCGCCCACTTGCTGGAGTGGCAGCTCCCAACTTAGATTTGAGTCACCATATAGCAGATATTTGCAATTTTTCTTTTCAAGACTGATGGAAGATGGACTCACAACATGGAAAAGCATTTGGTGAAGTGAAAGGACCTGTATCTCCTGTTTAAAATGTGGGAAATTTCCCAAATTTCCATGCGTTTCATCAAAATTCTCCTTTCTCCAACCCATTTCGTCCCCAAAAGCCCCTGCCTGTTCCTCACCTAAAACTCACTTCTCCCCAAATGTCCCTGCTCAATGTTCTGGCCACTCAGCGCATCCTGACATCTACTTACCTACGCAGCCACCTCACAAGATGATTTCTGTTCTCCTAAGCTTTCTTTTTTTGCCCAGTCTTGGGATTTTCCTAGCACTCCCTCCCCTCTTTCCCCTCACACTGTTGAGTCCAGGCTCATTGGAAAGAGCCCAGGCAACACAGAGACAAGGACGCAGAAAACGGGTATGTACTTACATTTCCAGCCCAAGTATCCACTGAGCAGGAGTCCTTCACCCACCCTGCAGTGCCTTCCCATGGCACAGCCTGATGGCCCAGGGAAATCCTCCTTCTCAAGGAGTCCTTTTTAAGGCAAGTCTTCCTGGAGGTGCCTCATGATTTATCACTCCACTGCTGCATCCTGAAATACGGTTTTCTTTCATACCCGTGTTCCCATACTGCACGAATGGGTCTGGAGTTGTACCTCTCAGATATGGTTTTGAGTTGTTCTTGAGTAATTCTTCCTGGTACTGGTTTGCAAAGAGTTGCAAATAGCAATACTCACTTCTGTCAGCCTGCGGGATCACCTTGGAGATATTTGAAAGCCATCTGGACATGATCCTGGGCAACTGGCTCTAGGTGGCCCTGCTTGAGCAGGGGGATTGGACAAGATGACCTCCAGAGGTCCCTTCCAACCTCAGCCATTCTACGATTCTGTGACATCATGCAGCGGGATCCCTAACCACTCTCACATAGGTGGAGATGTATCACGCTCATCTCTCCAGAAATATAACGGATACAGGGCCACGGACCCTGGATTCAGTTTCCTGACACTCTTCTGGTATGGCTGGAGGTCTTATAGGTACACCACTGTGCACATCCCTTGACGAAGCTGCAATATGGGTGTGACCTGAAACATCCTTGGCTGCCTGCAGTCCCCAGGGTTATCTGTTACATTTGGGTTAGCAGATAACCACAGGCTTATGGGAGACTCAAACCTTTTTTCACTGGAACCAAAATAAGATGATGTAGGGCATTTCTAGCAACGCTAGTGATCTGTGTTCAAGCAGTCAAAGCAAGCTCCCCTCAGTTGTTCACTCCTTAAATGCTGCTGACTGTATTTAGATTGTGATTGACTTTGATGGGCGTGTAGGTGCTGACTTATGTCTAGATACCTACAGTCGGATGTCATAATCTTGAACTGAATCCCATTCTTATATCCAGTCAACTGAATCTCTCTCCTTACTCTTTACTTTCTGGTGGGAGGAACTGATTACCATGAGATGAACGACATCAATATGCCAGCAATCTGTTGGCATATTTTTCCTGAAAATACGCACAACTTTTTTTTCTGACTTTGCTGGAATTTTGCTACAAGTTAGGTTTATGTATGCTGGAGTTGTGTTCTTATAACAGTGATTTATTTTAGATGTGCTTGAAAGCTAGCCATTGTGTAGAAGAAGGGAAAAAGGCTTAAACATTTTGTAGTTAATGTACAGATTTTATGGCTTATTTCTCTGTAATATTTTGGAAAGTTACATTAAATATATTCATTTATTCATTATACAGATTATGTACATTTCTCAGTATTTTCCAACAAAAGCTAAAATGTTCAAACCCTTTACAGACTTTGAGGAATGCATTAATTCTTTGACTTTTAACCTTTCAGGCATGAACAATTTTCAGAAAATCAGTAAGACTATCTAGGCAGAGGCACCTTGCTGAAGAGTTGTCTTCTCCCAAATGTCCTCCTCAGAGCATGCTTTACTTTGTTTCGTAAGCCGTAGATGATTGGGTTCAGCATAGGAGTTACTACTGTGTAAGAAAGAGCCACCAGTTTCCTGCTGTTTGCCAAGAAACTTTGGACTTTGGCTTTAAACGTATCAAGCCAGTTGTGCAGCAGAACAGTGTCACCACCATCAGGTGAGCAACGCAGGTGAAAAAAGCTTTGCGTCTTCCTTCGGCAGATGGCGTTTGGAGGATGGTATGGATTATCTGTATGTAAGAGGGAGCTGTCAAGGCAAATGGGATCAAAACAATTACAACAGTAGCAACAAACACAAGAAGCTCGAATAAGTGTGTGTCTGAACAGACCAGATCCAGAATGGGAGCGATATCGCAAAAGAAATGCTCAATCTCCTTTGAGCCACAAAAGGGGTAGCTAAATGGCCAACCAGTGAGTCCTACAGAAAGCGGAATACCAGCAATCCAGCATGCTGTGACCATATGAATACACACTTTCCTGCTCATTGTTATGGCGTAATGCAAGGGATGGCATATAGCCATGTATCGGTCATATGCCATGGCACCCAGGAGGAAACACTCAGAAGCGATGAAGAATACGACAATGTAAAGTTGTAGGGCACAGGCAGAAAAGGAGATGACCTTTCTCTCCAACAACAAATCCACAAGCATCTTGGGCACTATGTTTAGTGTAAAGCAAATGTCAATTAAAGCCAGGTTTTTGAGAAAATAGTACATGGGGGTGTGCAAGGCAGGACCAGTGGCTGCAGCTACAATGATGAGAAAGTTGCCTGTCAGAGTAATTAGGAACATCAGAAGAATTCCCTCTAAGAGGAAGACCTGAAGAGCAGCGAGGTGGGAGAATGCCTGCAAGGTGAAGTAGGTCTGGTTTCTGAGCCCCGATGCTTCAACAGCTTCCCTGTGAAAGAGAAACAACACAACCTGTATAAGCCAACAAGGAAGACATGAGAAGAAAAGTCTCTATAGGGATGAAGAAAAAATAGTGAGCTGCTCTGAAACTGGTTCCATTATTTAGTAAGTGGGACAATCAAATATAGCTGGGCAAATAACATTTTGAGAAGCACACTAAAAAAAAGCGACACATGATAAAAACAAGGTGATAAGAAAAAACAATGATCTTCACTGCAGAACAACTAAGATTTCCTTATAGTTTGTCTGTTTTCCTTTTTAATTAAGCTAAAATGTTGCCATGTCTACTTCATATTTCAGTTCAACTGGTATTTTCTGAAATATGTTTTCATCAACAATTCACCTATTTCATTTTCTGTGTGCAAAATATGAATTCATTTCCTACAGAACTGAAATCTAATTACATTCTCTGCTCTATTTTTAGCAAAAAAAGTTTTCCCCTGTTTTCATATACACATGTATGTGTATACGTATATACAGATTTCAAATAAATAAAGGAGAATAAAATTGTTGATGGTACAGCCATACGTTTGAAGCTTGAAGGATGGACAGTCATATATTTTACTATTTGGTCTTATCAATGCTAAAATATAAAATAATGACCTGCTAATTTAGTGATTTTTTAAAACTATTGTCGTTCTTTATTCAGTGCCACTGGACAATTGCTTATGAATTCGGTATTGTAAGAAACTTTCCTCTTGTAGACCATCTGCAATCTACCTGTCCGTATTTAGATATTTGTGATGTAGATAACCGTATCCAAGGTAAACATCTGAATTACCTTCTCAGTTTACGTCTTTACCTCAGCTACAAAGGTAAGTCAGAAACCTTGACTGTATTTCTCACTTAATCCAGTTATCTTCATTGGTGTCACTATGTGGGGGTGCCATTCATCAGCACGGAAAGGAGCAGCTACATGCATTGCAGAAAGCAGTATTAGCTGGGAAAGGTCCTCCCCGACAGTTTGCAGTTAAGGCACCCTCCATCCTGCACTTTGATTATCAACACTGGTTGACCTTCCTATGTTCCTTCACAGTAAAGTGAAGTTACAAGTCTGCATTGTTATAAAACACAACCCCTTTCAGTATGTTACCATCTTGACCTGTGTTCCCTCTAATCATCTTAGTGGTCCTCTTCTGGTCTCCCTTCTATTTATTAATCTCTTTCTTGTATAGAGGGATCCCAAAATGGGACACCTTTATCCACAGGTGGCCTTGCAAGTACCAAGCAGAGGGCAATGGGTGTGTTCCTTTGACCAGCTGGCTAGCTCTTGCTAACACAGCTGGCTAGATGGTTACTCCTCTCCAATACAGGGACACACTGCTGGCTCACTGTTGTGGTTTAACCCCAGCCGGCAACTAAGCCCGACATGGCCGCTCACTCACTCCCCCCCCAGTGGGATGGGGGAGAGAATCGGAAGGGTAAAAGTGAGAAAACTTGTGGGTTGAGATGAGACAGTTTAATAGGCAAAGCAAAAGCTGCGCACGCAAGCAAAACAAACCAAGGAATTCATTCACTGCTTCCCCTGGGCAGGCAGGTGTTCAGCCATCTCCAGGAAAGCAGGGCTCCATCACGCGTAACGGTGACTTGGGAAGAAAAACGCCATCACTCCGAATGTCCCCCCCTTCCTCCTTCTTCCCCCAGCTTCATATGCTGAGCATGACGTCATGTGGTGTGGAATATCCCTTGGGTCAGTTGGGGTCAGCTGTCCCAGCCGTGTCCCCTCCCAGCTTCTTGTGCCCCCCGAGTCTGCTCGCTGGTGGGGTGGGGTGAGGAGCAGAAAAGGCCCTGACTCTGTGTCAGCACTGCTCAGCAGCAACAAAAACATCCCGGTGTTATCAACACTGTTTCCAGCACAAATCCCAAACACAGCCCCGTACTAGCTACTGTGAAGAAATTTAACTCTACCCCAGCCAAAACCAGCACACTCATGTCCAGCTTGCCGTCCACCAGGAACCCCACATCCTTTTCTGCAGAGCTACTCCTCAGATGGTCAGTCCCAATCTATACCTATGCATCTTTCGTGCCATGGCCAGGACTTGGCATTTGTCTTGAACTTCATGAAGTTCCTGTGTGTGGCCCTCTTCCCCTGTCCCCAGATTTCTGTCATCTGGAGACTCCTGAGGATGTTCTCCATCACATCTTCCCAGTCACTGATGAATATGTGAAACAGCATTAGTCCCAGTATCAGCCCGTGAAGAATGCCTCTTATAACCAGCTACCAGCTAGACTCAGATTGTTGACCACTACTGTTAAAGCCTTGATGGTCCAGACCATCCTAATCTTTTCCCATCCAGTTTAGATCTTCCCAGTTTGGCTTCAAGGCTACTATGTCAAGAATTGCTGAAGTCATTAAATGACATCCACCACACTGCCTTCACCCACTCTAGGTCAGTCACCTCGTCATGGAAAGGTGTCAGGTTGGTCAGGCATGACGTGTTTTTGGTAAATCTGTGCTGACGTTCCTCAAATCTTTCTGCCTGGCCTTCTTCAAGACAGGCACATTTACTTTTTCTCTGTTGCTGGGAACCTACCCCAATTTGTCAGAGATGACAAATACCAGTCTTGCAATGGCATCAGCCACTTCCCTCAGCACCTTCCGCTGCATCCATGGGTTTGGGTGGGTTCAGTTTACTGAAGTACTCTGTAATTTGATTGTCCTCTGTTGTGGGCAGCACCTCCCTTTCCCAAACTGTGCAACTACTTTGTTTCTTTAAAAGAATCATAGAATAGTTTGGGTTGGAAGGGACCTCTAAAGGTCATCTAGTCCAACCCCCCTGCTGTGGGCTGGGACATCTTCAACTAGATGGAAACATCTTCAACCCTGAAAACATTCAAGGTCAGGTTGGACGGGGCTCTGGGCAACCTGCTCTAGCTGAAGATGTCCCTGCCTACGGCAGGGGGGTTGGGCTAGGTGACCTTTAGAGGTCCCTTCCAACCCAAACTATTCTATGATTCTATGATCAGACTCCCCCAAAAAATACAGTGGTGAAGAACAGGTGAGTGGTGACTGCTTTGTACCACTAGCTCCGTAGCCCCCTTTTTGTACA